AAAAAAAAAACTCTGCTCGTAGTCGGTTCTTTTCTACTCCTTCAATGAGTTCCTATTGACTTTTCAGGTTTTGCATTAAGCTCAAGAACCTGCACATGTTGAGGAATTCAAGTTAGTTCGTCACGTAAACACATGCAGATTGAGGTGAGTTCTATCATGTGTATGAGAATATTTTTTAACCCGTCTTGTCAAGAAAAGTTTTAAACGTTTAGCTTTCGAGAGAAGCCCGAAAAACGAAAAGAAAGGAAAGAAAGAAAAAGAACTCAGAAAGAAAGCACTTAGGGAGTCGTGAATCACTTGTTTGATGGTTTCGTACGTACTTTTGTTCATAAAATGGCGTATTTTTTGAGAATTTCCAGTTAAAATGACCATCAATCTCCAATATTCAGAAAAAAAGAAAGTGTAGATGGAAGATCAAGAAAAAGAAGAGGTGTTTTTCCTTTGCTCTTTCTCTCTCTCTCTCTCTCTCTCTCTCTCTCTCTCTCTCTCTCTCTCTCTATGTGGCTGCTGGGCTAGTGTATGAAGGTTAGAGTTTTTCGAGCAAATTGTAAATGTTCACAAACCCAAGTACTTGCACATATTTAATTTGTTAAAAAATGTGAAAAATTTGGCCCAGGTTTGAATTAAGTGTGAATATGTGTAGGCCATGGCTTTCACTGGTGATTTTCTTGCAGGTCCATGTGGACACTGTGAACCTCTCCAAACAGCATGTGGACTCTCTAATAGTGTAAGAATGTGGATTGGTGCACACTTGCAGAGACCCTTTTGAGCCTAAACCACTCTTCCAACTGGTAAGTCCCAACCCAATCCTCAAAAAAGCAACATGATTTTTTTTCCTATTATATATATATCTAAATTATCTATTTATTAATTTATGTTATCTCTCACGATTTTCCTTTTGAATTAAATAGATAATTTATATATTAGATGTGTTAATAAAATTTCTATATATTGGGAGGGCTTTTGGTGTTCATATTTACATTTCTCGATGTCTGGCTTAATTATATGATATAAGTTATAAAAATTACTATAATATAACACATGTAAGTCGCACAAGTAACAACTGTCATTCTAAAATATATAACAATATATATTTTTTTGTAAAAAAGTAAATAAAATTTAAGATAATTTTTTTCATGAATATTAAAATTTAAGAATATTTTTTTAACAAGCACCCGTGTAATACACGTGTATTGTACTAGTAATATATATACCATACATATACATTCAATATACACGTGTATTGTACTAGTATTATACACGTGTATTGTACTTTGGTTGGTGTTTGAGGAACAGTTTTAGCTGTAGAAAAAGCAGATGTGGTGGGAATTACTTGCTAAGGTCACTTTCATAAAGCCACTTAGAAATAGAACTAATCAATTTTTTTCAAATTCAGCATCATCAGCTGGCAGTAATAAATTCTGCTGATGCCCTAAAAGGAAAATAAATAAATAAAGAAATTTTTTTTCCAATAATAATTATTGGGTAGTTGAAGTTTTAATCTGCTGCCTCGGATCGCATCATTTCTGCTGTCATAGGAAAAGATTAAGAAGTGCCTGCACAGTGTTGTTGAAAGTTGAAACTATTCAATGCTTTGATCTTACATATATGATATTCAAAGGGAGAAACACTTTTTCTTTTGTGAAAATAGATATTTTCACCGTCTAATAAAAAGTTAGTTTTTCACCCCAAAAAGTGCGAAAGACATTGTGCGATGAATATGCGATAATTGCGCGATGACATTGTGCGAAAGTTAAAAGTGCGAAGGCATTCGCATATCCGTTCGCACTTTCTGGGGTGAAAAACAGTTAAAGTGCGAAGGTATTGTGCGATGAATATGCGACAGTTATGCAATTGATATTCGACAGTTATGCAACAGTTGTTCGCATAACCTTCGCATATGTGACAGTTATGCGAATATGCGACAGTTTTCGCATAACCTTCGCACTTTCCGGGGTGAAAAACTTAGCTTTTTATTGGTTGGTGTGAAAAACTTAATGTGTTTTTGTATTGGGGTGAAAATGATTTTTTCCCTTTTCTTTTCCCCATTATTTTTTTTAAATTATATATATATATATAATATTATATAGGATGTGTTCAAATGACAAACACAATTTTTGAATAATGTGTAGTGTTATGATTAATTTTGTTGAGTGCCAATTTTAATTAGGATTTATTCTATTAGAATAGCAACACAATGCATGTAATATTACATGATTCATCACAATTCAAAATAGCATCATATATGATTGACAACACCAATACTGGTGCGAGAACCGTATATTATGCAATCTTTTTAATTGTGTGTCAGTGGTGTACATGGTGTTATTAGTTACACAAATTATATTATACATTTTTGTTTTTATTTTGAATAAAATAAATCATGATAAAAAAAAAAAAATAGCACCAGACACAATTAATCATCGCATTACACATAGTTAATAATAATGTTTCTCACGGTTATCATGTTAAGAGGAGCGGGCTTTCTTTGAAGTAATTGGAGGAATCGAACTGTAGGCCTAACGGTTAGGAAACCGTAACTTTTTCAGTTAATATACGTACTTTCATCAAATTGAAATGTCATACTAAGAAAAAACAATAACAATATTAAGTCTGATTTTTCTATGCAGTTTTTTTTAGAAAAAAATGTCGGGACAACTTGTCTAACATTTCTCTTGTGGTAGCCTTTAGCTGGAGCCCTGACCCATTTTCTGAACTTCTGAGTTCTGTGGTGTAAATTATCATTTGCATTATTTTTATAGAATCTTATTCACAGACCAGCCTCGCAGTTTGGCATCTAGTCTATTCAAGATCTGCCTCAGTTCTAACCTTTCATGTCATAAATGAGCATCTTTTTCACTTACCATGATCAATATGTGGTCTTCTAATTTGGTACCACAATTAATTGTCAAGACAATCATGCATTCGAAAAAAAAAAAAAACACTATGCATCGTAATTTTTATCTATTTCGCGATAAAGAAAAAAGAAAAAAATAAAAACGGGAAAAATTCCCGAATGCATAAAATTATGCGTGGTTATATTTGCACGGGTCAAGTACTTGTAGATGAAAGGCTAGCAAACTTCAGTCCGACCCATGAGATTTTAGCCACAAATTCATACACGTGTAAATTTGTGGCTAAAAAACTCTATGGGGCAGTGCCCATTGGGTAAGGTTGAACTTTCCCAAAATTTATAATTATTGTACTTTTCTGAAGAATTTATGGCATTTACTTACTGCTATGGCATGAGAGAAATTTGAAGGTAAAGAAGAAGCTGTAATTATAATTGTTGATAAGGATATTTTTTTTTTTTTTTTTTTTTGGCGCGTTTGTACATAAAATGGAACATAATATGGTTCCCCATATTATCAAATCATGCCCAAAACTGTCTACTTATTACCCTAACACTACTAATGAATGCCTTACTGGTTTTTTTGTCTTCATTCTTTGGCCTAGAAAAAATGTTGCTACGAGTAGTTAAAAATTCCAAACACAAATGAAGATTTAACAAAGTATATATGCTTATACCTGTATCTGTAATATTATTAAATTGTTTCCATTAGTGGACTATGGATTTACATTTTTTTTTTTTATATACAAAGGAAGAGGCTAATGCCTCTAAAGTTTAGTCACTCACATTACGTGAGTATGACACGCCAATCACATCGTGGTGCAGCCACTGTCGAAACCCAACGGGAGGCAAGCTATAATACTGAAATCCCACCAAACCCTCCGCAACGAAAGAAGCCATGAAGTCGGCTGCGAAATTCACCTCGCGGAACACGTGTGACATTATTGCTTGGTTATTTATTTATTTATTTTCTGTATTTTTTCCTTTGAGGTGTCCTAAATGGTCTCACTTCGAATATTTGAGAGTTAGACAGCTCAACTAACATAACAGATTGTATGAGTTTATTTAACATGGATACAGAAAATTCGGTGCTGCCCCTAAGGGCACTGTAGCCAGCCCCTAGGGGCCCTTGATATGTGTGTAAATCAAGGGCTCCTAGGGGCTGACTGTAGTGCCCCTAAAGGCAGCACCGGATGTTTCGATGGATACATTGTTTTGTCATAAAATTTGACATTTGTCTATGCGAAATGATATATGACAATGGATGGGCCGGTAAAATTGTTATATTGGTCCTTTTATCATCGCGTCACTCAAAAAGAAAAATTACTAACAATTTTTTGTTGTAGGTAGAGTTGTGATATTATTTTGAGTGTTAATTTATCTTGCAATTCAGATACAAGATAAAATAAAATTCCAAATTCTACAACTGATTAAATGTGGAGTGGTGGATTTATTGCTCATCTTACCTTAGAGGGCAAAAATATCTTTTTGACCCTATCAATACTAAAGTGTGACCATAAATATGACCATAAACAAGAAAAAAAAAAA